TCTCTCTCTCTCTCTCTCTCTCTCTCTCTCTCTCTCTCTCACACACACACACACACACACACACACACACACACACACGCACACGCATACCCAGGTCAGAAGGGAGCTGTGGGACTCTGAAGACTGCTCGAACAATGGAAGGAGGATGATGACGAGAGCTACCTCGATGGTTCCTACTAACGATCAGAATTAGCCGTTCGCTAGGCACAATAGGACTAATGGGATTCGAGCCCCTGATCGGGCATGCATATTAAGGCGTAGGGCGTCACCGCACGCCACTCAGGTGGAAGCATGGGAGGATTGGAAATGACGGGAGAAGCCTCTGTGGGTCCCATTGATAAAAAGAAACGACTCTCTGTTAGTTGCGTAGGGTTCGATCCCCGAGTCTGCCTCACTTAATAAAGGGTACCCTCTGTGCGCCGCTCACGCACAATTTTTTTCCGTTTTCTATTTTCTTTTTTCTTTTTTCTTTTTCCCTTTCTTTTTCTTTTTCTTTTTTCCTTTTTCCTTTTATTTTTCTCTTTTTCTTGTCTTCTTGTTTTCTTCTTCCTTGTTCTTTTTCGTTTTGTTCGCTCTTTTCCTTTTTGACGCCTCCCCTTTTCCCCGCACATCTTCATTTCGTCATTTTCCGAGGGGAATGATGTGACGGGTTACGGACCAGGGGCAAGCACTAATTTAGGATCCCTCTGTACCGGGCGGCTAGGTACGGCTGCATTCAATTTTAACTCGAGTCTCGAAGATACTGCGGCCGAACACTTCTAGCATTCCAGACTTAGCGCCAGCAGTGAACTTCAGGCCCGGTCGGACCAACAGATCGAGCGGTAAAAAGCTTGGCCACAAAGGGTACTTCCCAACAAATTGCACGAGGCCATCTGGAGCAGTCGATGACCAGTTTTTTGTCGAGACGCCTGGCGGAGGATTTCGCAACAGGTTTTTCTGCGAAGACTGCCTCGGCAATTTTCTGTACCGAGTGGCAGTGGGACGGACCTAGGCTCGGAGATGGACTTCCACTTCGATCCAGACAGCGAGGAGGACTTCATCGGCACTCAGGAAGGGGTACTGTAGCCGCATTGCCATGAAGCCCACTAGACTGGACCCGCTAGCGCTCCTCGCTCTGCTCTGCGCTGTCGCCCTGTGTTTGGCACTCGTGCCCAACGCCCTCATCGGCGCGCTGCTCTGTTGGGCCTGTTGGACCGAGTGCATGATGCTCGCAAGCTCGCGCCGCTTCTCTGCTCTCATTTACGCCACCGCGTTCTTCTTCGCTGCCCTCAGCGCGATTTGCACGATTGCGCTCATCGTAGCAGCGCTCCTCCTGCACGACCTGATGGCGTAACCCGTCGTCCGCACGCGCTGCTCTCTCACCCCCCCTTCCCCCCTCCGGCGCCTGTGTTCTCGCCGCATCTCTCTCCCTCCCCCTCTCTCTCTCTCGCATTCACCCTCCCGCTCTCTCCCTCTCTCCCTTTCTCTCTCTCCCCCCTCTCTCGCTCTCCCACCTCCGCCGTCTCCCTCATCTCCCGTCTTTACTGCTCCCCCCCTCCTTACACGCCATAGGAGCAGCAACACTCATCCGCGAATAATGGTGCCCAGCGACTACTACGAGAGGTCAACCATGGAGATCGCAGCCAGCGTCTTCCTTGCTTACCTAGCGCTGCTCGCTCTCCTTGCAGTCCTCTTCTTCCTAGCCTTCCTCCCTAATGCTAGCTTGCAACCCCCCGCCCCCCCACCCCCGCGGCATTCGGAGCACTTATTGTACAGTCAGCAGGCGGAGCGCGGCCCCCCAGTTC